ACTACTTTCGGCTTGACCAAAACTGGACGAGAACTCTGCTCACAGGACGCTGCCAGGGGTAAGTCAGTGTGATTGCATGACACTGGTGATGGGGATGCTATACAGATTCATGTCAAAAATACCGAACTATCCCTTTAAGGTAGTTTAAGGAGCAACAAAATATAAACAGATCCCTTTCAATATTATTAACCCCTAAAGCAGTGTCACACATAGCTGTGTAAAATATCTACTTGTGTATGAATTACTTTCAATGTTTAACAATATTTGTATTGTCAACAGTAGGTGCCAAAGGCAAGTCTCACATTCTCACTGTTAGAAACTCAGGTGCATCATCATTCCCTGCCATGAGCAAGCCTGAGGACAGTAGGGCTGCAACTAATGATTATTTTTCATATCAATGAATCTGTGGATAATTTCTTTGATTAATCGATTAATAATTTGATAGCAAAAGGTTCCTTAAAGAAGACTTTTGATTAAATTAAAGCAGATGAAGCTAAAACTTTTCCACTTGAGCTAAAACTTTTTACTTGAGTTCCTTTAATGTGTTCCAGGTTGGAGCACATTAAAGGAAGAAAATGTTTTTTTTTTATCTTAAATTCAAAATGTTTACATATTTCAAACAATTTTGATCTAATTACTACTCTAAAAGGGTTGCTCTCTCAGTTAAAGACAGGTTTTAGAGTCTCTACATCCCAGTTAATGATAATTGATTACTAAATTAGTTGAAGATTATTTCAATAATTGATAAATCACGATTAACCCGGTTAATTGTTTTAGCCCTTGAGAACAGTTTTGAATTTTTTTGTTTGCATTTTTTTGTTTGTTTAAAGAAATAAAAGCTTTCTTTTTTATTATTTTAGTAATCAGAATTGGATCAAATATATTTGGAAATTTCGAAACTTCCGAAAAAACAGATTTTAATTTGCTCATAAAATTCTAATTGGTGCATCTCTAATACATTTGATTTTTTTTTCCTTTTCCTGCAGAGCCATCAGTTGTCTTGAATATAAATAAGATCTTATTTAATATTTATAAATTTAAAAGCTCTTTCTTCTAAGGTAATAAAACATTGTGATACAACAGCAGCTGGAAAAAATATGAAGAGAACCATGACTCTGTTGGAAATGAAGTATTCTGATGTTTCGGGTATGAGAACATTTAGGGCTCTAAGAGTTCTAAGAAAAAAGAAATGAAGGAAGAGCCTGAGGCCTCCTCTCCCACATTCCTGTAAGGAGAAATAACTCATCTACGCTCTGCTAGGCTAGATACTCTGCACAACCACCACATAAGGGGCCAGACCTGTCTACAAACAACTGCACATCAGGGAAGTATTACCTCTCCCCGTCCAGACTGTGTGGCTCATGCAGCACGCTCACACAGGAGAACTTCAATCTTCATAAGGAGGTCAATACAGAGATTAGCACAAACAGATCTGATTAGGAGAGTGACAGAACAGGGACACCCAACAGCAATAGGACAAGAATGACATGTAGAAAGAGTGGCCAGCAGTTTTATACTGAGAAACGGAACAAAGAGGAGGAAAACCATCAAGTTGTCAAGACGGAAAACCCAAGACAAGGATATGAGCTGAGCGTTAGTTTGGCTAAAGAGATGAAGAGAAGAGGCAGCAAGTAATTCTGCATAGCGGCGAGATAGACATACTAGTCCTGATCATCCAGACGGCTATACCGCTGATTCATCATCATCCTGATTAAAACAAAACAAAAAGAGGAAAACAAACACCATTAAGCCAACTTAAAAGCACCGGGGACAAAAAATAAAAGGGGGTGGTAAATTCAGTGAAAACGCCATGCGCCATATTGCACCACAATTATACAAGTTATCTCTTTTCAGCACAGTACAATTTATTACACCTTATAAAAACAATGATGTTCTGAGACACTGCAAAATGTCTACAACAGTGTTGATTGTCCAAGTTCATCTTAAAGGGTTAAACCATGCATTTGAATGTTGTGTAAATCTTCAGCAAACTCCATATCCTGTCTGTTATACAAGCGTCCCATGCTGCCCCCTCCTCCAGTCATACTACAGACCCATTCTCTGCTCACACGCAGCTGGAAAAATAAGGAGGCTGTGACGCAATACAGTCACAGCTGGGGAATGTAGGTAAAGGAGCACTATGTCAAGGACTCTGTCCGAGGTCAATCTGCTCTGTCTTTTCTCAACTTGATCAGGCTTTTCCCCTCATTGTGAGACATGGGACGACTTAATCTAGGAATCATCCACCCATATTTGTTTTTCCCATCTAAAAGGATCTAGACATGTCTTTTTAACTGCAGCTATTTAAGAGGCGATCAGCATACATGAAGCCTAGCAACTAACAAGAATTGAGATGACAGAAGAAATCACATATGGTTTACTTCAGAAATATTGACATTAAATATATGTTTCTTTATTTAAACTTATGCTGACCAAACTCTGGAAATACAAAAACCTGTGTCAGTCAGATCATCACTTCTTGAATAACCTTTTTCATATCCGTTTCAAGTTGAAAAAATCCTAATAAACACAGAAGGGTGGTCAGACAGTAGACATTACGTTTGTTATTGGACAGTAGGTTCACAAAACAAAAGTATTTAAAGCCATACAAATTCTATAAGTATAAATTAAATCAATGACCGAATGCATCTGCAGGTTTCCTTAGATTGATAACGTTTAAAAAAAATCTGTATCTTTAACTGAATATATACAGTTAAATGCAAGTGATGACGTCTCTTGGACAGGTGCTGTATATGGAAAAAAAAACTGATTTGATTTGATTTAAATAAAACAAAATTATCCCTGACAACATGAATAAATGCAATACTTTAAAAAAATATATATATTTCTTCTATTAAGAGAGAAAAGCCAACTAAACCCAGCCACAGGAGAACACATAAATTGCAGAAGTGTTTCAATTCTTTACCAACTGTGGTTAATGACATTATTCATTGGACTTTTTTTTCACCTGCAACATAAAGTAGGCTAAGGGTCTTTAAATGCAAACAATCATTGCTGAATCATAAAAAGCACATTGTTAACCTTGGTCTGAAACCAGTTTAGTTTGTAAACCTGTCATTTTCATTTATTTCATGGTTTGGTTTCCTTTAAAGAGAGGAAACTCCAAATGAGCCCAAGGCTGTCCGTCACTACAAACCAAGTAACAACATTACCAGAATAGGAAATCAAAATAGGAAATCTCAAATGACAGAATTACTGGTACGCCTGACAATACTGTAAAGTTAATAATAGTTTCTGGGAAAGTTTCAGTATCTTATCGCTTTCTGTAGCACTATAGCTGAGTTACTGCAACATTTAATTTCTCTTTGGGATAAATAAAGTATTTTAGATTTCAATTGAACCACTGATTACTGTGAAGTGGTAGCTAGGGAATAACAGCAGAAAAAGCCCTGTCTGTCTCACAATAGCAAACAAACTGCACTGTCCTCAAATCTATGAGGACTTTGACTAGAACTAAGTACTTCTTTGATCAGATTAAAATATAGTTTAGACAGACAAGCTGGGTCTGACTTTAAATAACGGTTGAATATACACTCTGATCTATGTGGACATGAATGAAAAACCTTAGTGCTAAATGCAACTGACAACCTGTGAGGTTTGCTCAAGCAATGAGTGCATGAGCAGATAATCAAAGATTGTGAAAAGAGCAACGGTCAAAGATCTCTCTCTCTGTATGCTCCAAACTTAGAAAATGTTACATGAAAAAAACAACTGCTAATAGCAATGGGTTGTTTCAATGAAGTATTTGCAGGGGGATACTACTAACCACAACAGTGTATGGCTATTCACCAATGTTTAACTTTTATATATTTTTATGTGTGTGTTTTTTTAATGAAAATATTCAGAAAATGTATTATTGGAGGAACTTCAGTAACTTGGCAAAATAACTGTCATAAGTTGGTAAAGGTTTTTGTTGTGTACATTTTTTTTGCAGTCTTTCTAAAGATTTTTAAGTTTTGAAGTTATAAGCTTAAAAAAGGTTTATTGTGACATTGCTTTGATCTTAGGGATTTTAACCAAACCTCACCAGGGCTGCTGGTGTATGTGGCTATGACTTATATAACGAGCATCAAATCAATAGTTCAAGAGCAGATGCTAACTGAAAGCATAGCTCTGGGACTAAAACAAAATTAGAATTAGGCTGGGTCTAACCTTTGTTCAATTAAATATAAAACAAAACACGGATAAGAAGTATCCAGCTCTTGATAAACCTGTTTATTCGCTTCTTCATTATCTCTGTTTATTGTGGCTTTAAGGTTTATTTAAATGTAGCCTAAGATAATTAAATGTTTAATTATTGGATATCTTCAGTTGTGCATTAAACACAATTATGGCAACAACTAGTTTTCCACCATGTTCTCCCAGATAAAACTCCATCGGTATAAATTTCATTCAAACCCAAACATTTGTTCAAACATAAAATCTTTTTTTGTGTGGTTGCTTTGTAAACAGACCTGCTAATGCAATAAAATGTCTGTATTACCAGTACAGATACCCAGAAAAGCAAAAAGTTTCAAGAGTGATATCATCTAAAGAACAGATCAGACCGGCAAAACCAACTAAACATAAATATCCCAACAACTTCAAAATTAAAAGAAAGAGTACGACTTGCATAAATGGATGAAACAGAAACAATCCCACACACTGTAAACAATATGTTGAAAACTCTTGAAAACTTGCAAAAGGAAAATGCATCTGCTTTTTGTGCATTAACATCTTTTAAACACTGCCTGAAATACATCAAATATTGAATATTTTATTGGACATTTACCATTTTTTATAATTTCCCATAGATCAAAAACAGGTTATTCCAGGAGAGTAAGCTTTACCTGTCAGCGTCATTCACCAGGGCGAGGCGCCCATAGTCCCAACATCGTTTCCTCAACACGGAAAACACAACCAGCATCATCTACAGGCACACAACAAACAGTGCTTGTTTTACTGCCTCCATTTACACAAAAGGGACCAGAAACACAAATGTTGCATAACTACATTTCAAAACACTTTCTTGAAAGTATTTCACTTTAAAGAGGAAAAATACAAGGTCGTGTCAATATTGGGGTTGGTTTCTGACCTCTGAATCAATATTCTGGCCCCCACAGATGAATGACATGAATACTCACCAAAAAACACATAAAGTCAAGGGCAAGGACAGTTGGCACACCACCAAAGGGCAATCCTTGGAGTACAGTACTGCGGATTCGGGCCGAGTAGCAGACGTCTTTTTCTGAGGTATTGCGCCCCAGTTGTGGGCAGTTCTCTGAATCGGCACATTGCTGGACCAGGCCCATTGTGAAATCCCAGTCTCTAGCTCAGTTACTGCAGCATGCTGGCACCCTATGAACAAAAACAAAAACAACAAAAAAAACATTTTAATAACATAATATACTGAAATAATAATGCATTGGAGCCATACTCTTCACATTCTTCCATCGAACTTAGAGAAAAGGAAGGACATGTCAAAGCACTTTAGAACAGCTGTGACTAACCTCTTCCCCGCTCTGAGGCGGGCATTTTATCAATTTCATTAGACCCAGACAGGCTGGATGTCACTGTTAAGGTTTTTAAAAAGCTATATTATCAAAACCAAGATTTTTTTCAAAACACTTCCACTTTTATAATGGCCCGAATGACCATAGCTTTCTTCTGTTGAATTGGACACAGGGTGTTATGGTGCAGCCCCTGCCTTACCTGTTGCTACGCACTTCCCAGTGAGTGAAAGAAAGCTAATACACTTGATCCTCCCTCACTAGAAATAAAAAAGCTGTTTGAAAATATATTAAACTAAATAAAATTTTGAAATCTTAGCAAGTCATTAGCAAGTCATATGTTTGGAAAGCAATCTGCTGCCGCTTTTACCTAAAATATAGATATGTAAAGAGCAAAAAAGGGTAAAATATGCCACAAAATAAGAAAGTTAACTTTAAGCTACTTGTAATTCAATAGTGTCTTTGTACTAATTTGCTGCTTTGAATAACCATACAGTGGGGCAAAAAAGTATTTAGTCTAGGGCTGCAACTAACGATTATTTTAAAAATCGATGAATTGGACGATTATTTTTTCGATTAATCGATGAATCGGACAAAAATATTTTTTATATTA